CTCTTCGCATTTTAAAACAACATCAGTTCCAGTTGCTCTTGACTTTTTAATTAGACACGGATATATCACAGCGGAAAATGGTAAGTACACAATATTATATAAATGATTATTAAATTGTATAATTATTGCAAATTATATATGCAAAATATATTATATTAAAATATATTATATATAAAACATATGATATATAATATATAATATAAACATATAATATATAAAATATATGTTAAATTATCTCTATATACTTTAAAATACTTTAAAATAAATTAATCATAAATAAAACTCAGATTTTTCATATAAAAAACGTAAGAAAAGTAAAAATTTTGTCATTAAAATTTATCAAGAAATAGAGAAAATGCTATTGAAATTATTTTTTTTTTTTATCTTGATATTTCATTTAAAAGTAGTAGAGATATTAATGAATGAGTTCGTGATCTATATTTTTTCTTGGAAATTTATACACTTTTAGAAATCGCATTTATTATTTATTTGAAATTTGGAATAAGTTAATAAAACGTGCAAGTGAAAGATTCGAATGAACGACAAAGACGAAAATAATAAATGATTAAATATTATTTTTTTTTTTATATGATGAAATCTGAAGTCATATTGGGATAAATGAAAAATAGTTTTAAAGAGAAAGGTTTCGCGCTTCTAATGATTCCTCACTTGACCGGAATCTACTATTTTCGAAGTTATAGCAGTTCAAAGTTTTCCTAATATTAATAAGCTTTAATCGAATTTTAAGTCTTATGTTTTAAATTAAGCATTAAATATTCATTTCTAGAAGAATATTATGCCTAAAATAATCTTATTAATGATATATTTGAGATAAATTAATTTCAAAAATCATTTATTTGTTTTTTTTTATTTTTTACTTCGACTGATTCAAATTTAATTATATTGATTATGTAAAATATATGAATATATGAAACATGAAATATGAAAAAAAAATATATTTATTTATTGATTATAATATTAAATATTCTAAAATGTTCATTTCTTTGTTGCAGAGCCTAATTTTATTGAAATCGTGGAATTGCTTCATATACCTCTGCAGACCATTTACAATCATCCACAAAAAAAATGTAAATTAGCTGCAAATGGTGAGGCAATCGATTCTTTAAACAGAATTTAAGTTTAACTAGTCTTTAATTTAAATTGCGTTAAAAATTAATTGAATGAAATGAAAAGTTAGCTTTCTTTTGTGATTTTCTGTATTTTTTGTATTTGATCAATTCTTCGCAGATTTTATAGTAAGGAAAAAGAGAAAAAATGATGCAATTTTATATACATAAGGCTTGCAAAATATTTATAAATCATTAAATAATAGTTCAAATATTCCAAAAATCGATTTACAAGATTTTTATGACATTAACTCTTATTTCCATGCATATTAGCAAAGAAAAAAAAAAAAAAAAAGAAAAAAAAAAAAAAAAAGAAAAAAATACGTAATTTCAATAGCTATATACTGATTGTAATATTTTTACTCATAGATATAATTCTTTTTGTTATGATTCTAGTAGTTTTTATATAATAATGATGAAAGTATCGGTAAATACAATTTTTTGATGATTCTTATAGGAAGAATATTTCGGAAAGTAAACATAGATATTATTAACTTAGCAAGAATTTCATAGGAAAGATATATTTTAATTTGTTGACTGCGAATTTATTGACGTTTAATAACTTTGTAAAATTGGCACAATATATAGTTATAATTTAAGAACTAATTTTTAACATCGTTATATAAAAAAAAAAATCACGTTACATCTTCCTCTAATTTTTACTAATCATCGAACTGAATTTTTGCACAATAATGAAAAGAGAAGTTTTCGCCCATGTATGATATCTAAACTTGTGACGATTTTTGATATACATCGATGTCAAATTAGAAGTATTATTCATACAGCATTCCAGAGCATAGATTAAGACTTCAGTTTCTAAGCGACATGGATAAAAAAACGAAAGAATAACAATAGTTTTTTCTAACGTTTGTAATCGAACTTTTGTACTAAACTTGTACACCTAACAACAACAACAAAAGTGCATAGAATGCCAATGCAGTAATATCGTAATATTCTGCGTAGAATTAAGACAGAATTCATTCACAGTATTATGGACGTGAATGCACAGTATACTGTTTGATATGTTTAAAGTAAGGAACTAATGAAAAAAGAAAAAAAAAAACAAAAAACAAAAAACAAAAAAAAACAAACAAATTTATAGATGAATTATGTCAACGTATGTGTTCTTATATTCCAACTATGCTACCAACGAAAAATGCTTTAGATCTAGCATTTTATCTTGAACGACTTTTTTGAGAAGGGGAACAAAAGTGTTCGTATATTGTTTATTGTATGTAATACGTAGGTAGATTTTTTAATTGAAAACGATTGGTACTAAGGTTCTGATCAAGTGATATCATTAGATTTTGAAGAATAGTAATTGTATAAATGGCAAACGCAAATTTAAAGCATCGCATTTTTTGTATCAATGTTATGGATTAATATTTATTGCTCATTTTACTTATTTGAAGATTGTGGTTTAATTTATGTATTCATTGTTCTGTTCATCTAATGCACAGAACTTATTTTTATTTTCTTTAAAAGTCAACTAACAATTAAATATTTTTGTAAGATATTATTTAAATGATGCTTCGTACTATTTGCATTGCGTATGCCCTTAAGTTAAGAAATTTTTTGATACTGAACTAGTTTCTATGAGATGAAAAGTCATTAGGTGTGTTGAATTCTAGATATAAATTGTTGTTAAGAATTCAACATTACAATCATTATAATTGTGTTTTTAAGAAACTTTTCTACTAAGACTAAAATATCTGTATCGTGACGTATTATATTAATATATTTGCTTTCTTTCATTGCTTTTATTTTTTCGTCTATTTTGCTAGATGAGACATAGTTGAAATATCCGTACAGCTTAATCTAACTTTATTTAATCTTCATTTGTACTAACCTCTGATATGTTTAATTAAGTAAATTCGCTATTTTTATAATTATATACTAGTCATTCTTATCATTGCTTTATAATTTCTTAACAATCTGGTCATAAAATTGTAGTATCTACGATTATGTTTGTTTTTAAGTGAAACTAACATTTTTGTGATAGAAATGAGTACGGCTGGCCATACTATTTAATGCATGAATTAATATTTGTCAATGAATAAATTTAATTAAATTTAAAAATGTCATCGTTTCTATCAATGACACCTGAA